AGTTCATGTGTATAACAGAACGCAGCGGAACAAATTTAATTTTTTTTGTTGGTTAAATAATCTAGAAACATTGAATAACTTAAATTGAAAATTAAAAAACCGCCGACCCAAAAAGAGCTAATGATCTTCAAACGGCTGAACCGATTTTGATAGTACATGTCTAAGAACCACCGCTAGAAAACCTGCTTTTAAATAATAAAAAAAAACCACACCCAAATCGGTTTACCCGTTTAAGACCTACGATGTCACAGACAAATCACAGACACACACGCACACATAACGGTCAAAGTTATAACACCCCTCTTTTTGCGTCGGGGGTTAAAAATTGATAGATCAGTACTTCACAGTACGCTTCAAGTTCGATCCCAGTTGCAAGCAACACTAACATTTTTAAATTATACATTAAACATATATCACGCCTGTTACTCAGAGGGGTAGGCAGAGACTATGCAATTCCATTTGATACGATCCTGTCCTGACATCTCTCACGTTTCTTTCACATCTATATAATATATCTACGCTTTGTCCTGTATCCTATCTAAGGTAATTTGGCCCGATTTTAATATATAGCCAATTCGGTCAATAAACTTCCAGCTAGGGCGTCTCTTGCCGTCTTCGCCAGTCACGTTTTTATTAACTTACTAACATTTTACTTGTAATATTAAGTTCTGATGTAAAACATCTTAATCGGTGAAAGCAAAACATCAAGATGAATTCTGGACCTCTGCAAAATAATTATTGCTTGAAGTTAGTGGTTGGAACTAGTTTGATATTACCCAAGCACTCGTATATAGCTATATAGTAGGTACAAAAGATAAAAATTGCCAATTCTCGCAATTGGAAGAAGAAAATTCTCATACAATATATATTTTCTATAAAATTTCCATAATTTAAAACAATAAATAAACCTGTTAGTAAATACTTGATATTAATAAATGTGAACATAATACGAAATAAATAAAACTAACTATCTCAATGATTTACAACAGTACACAAATTGTCTGTCCAAAGTTATGAGAAACATGTCAATTGAGTATGCGCACACCCCACTATTGATAAAGTGACCATCCTTTCCACTTTTCTTGGAAATAAAAGAATAATTTTACAATTAATATTATAAATTATTTGTAATTCTGTTACTGTAAGAACTTATGATTTTAATATTATTATTTCTTTAATTATAATATAATATAAACTTTCACGCCTGTTACTCAGAGAGGTTGGCAGAGAGGATTTTATTTGTCATAGAATAATAACAAACGTAATATGTCAAAATGTCTACTAAAATAAATAAAATTACCTAGAGCATGGCATTTCCATTTTTTTAGATTCATTGCGATAATTTAATTAATGTTCTATTTTCTGTCTCGGTCTTGGTTAAATTATGCTTTAAAATAAAAGACATTGAAATTAATTTTAGGAACTAATATCAAAATTTAGAATAGATAGTATAAAATGCGTCGTGAATATTACAAATTTTGACTTCTATCTTATATAAAATAACTTTATTTCTATAAATCATTTGTATTTCAAAAAAATAATGTATCCAATTGAGGCAGCGCAGTAGACTCTTCCCTACTTTAAACCCTTTCAGAAATGAACTTTTATTATTAACGTTGCCTCTTAGGTACAATAGGTTGAGAAACTGTCCGCAATTTTTAAACTCATTGATAGTCATAAAACAGCTTAACGTTGTGAGTACGCGCCCTGTTTCTCCACTTATGTGTTTTTGCGGCCGTCTGCAGGACGCAGGGGCGTAAATAGAACGTAACTGATAATTTTGACATTAAACAGTAGTAACGTCTGAGTTTGGCGGGAAGAGCCCGTTTTATGTCAATTTTTATTTTCGAATGATGGATAACAAAAATACAAACTGATTATGTGGAAACTGTAAAATTTTGCCCCTTTGAGAATTTATATTTTTATTTATACAAGTGTAATATAATAATAGTTAAGACTTAGTTAACTACTTACTACCGTTAAATAGGGGTAGTACCTATACACTTAAAGCATTAACTTCTTTTGCGCTTCATGACTTCGCCGTTGATTTGTCAACTTTAACTACGATGTTCTAACTACGATCGTCTAAAGTACTTTATTGTTATATTTGCAATTAATTTGCCGAATCCAAATCTCACAGATTAAAGACAGGATAGCAGCATTTCCAGTGCGATGCAATGTAGCAAAACGGGTCCTACACTCCATTCCACTTGCAATATACCGGAGAAATGCATACCAACTCACGTTTTCTTGGAAAAACCTATGTGTAGCAGTGGTATTAAATGGAATGACTGTGATAAAATTTTATTTATCGTTTAATATAATAAATATAATGTTACCTACAACGAAGTCCTAGCAAGAACATGACTAGTCTCATTAAATGTATTCAAAGACTAGAAAACGATCTTTTCATTGCGTAAAATAAGACAAATCTAACTATATCTTGCAATAAAAAAATCAAAATAACGTCAAAATGAATTATCAGTTTTGAACGAATTTTATTATACAGATAAGCGACCTATTTTATTTTATTACAATGCCCATTAGTTTTGAAACTCAATTTTTTACAACTACAGTATACATGTGTTTGTCTCTAATTAATCTGTATCTTAGTGCATATTATCGAATGTTTTAATATAGTATTCATTAAATATTCTATATCGCGTAAACTAGGTCATAGGTTGAATGATGAGGTTAAGTTATCATTGAGTAATTATAAACTTTGATAATTATTTTCGATAGTAACTCGGTTGGTCACCCTTCAGTACCTCTGTCCTCTACCCTGAAATAGCAGTTTACTGTTAAGCAGGATTTCCAAGAAAGAAAAACATTCAATCCTGTTTGTATTGTGGTTTTATCTATAGTCTACAGTCTATAGATATAAATAAAATTGAAGTGTCTGTTTGTGATGTCAAAATAAAAGCTTTATACTAAACGCACATGAAACCACATACGGTCTTCTAAAAAAAATTAAACTTTTTGTGTTTCTCTGTCTGTTTGTTGCGGCTAATCTCCAATATACCTGGACCAATTTTGACGGGGCTTTCACTGACAAATGGCTGATGTTATAAGGAGTAACATAGGCTACTTTTTTTTAACGAAATAAATTAGAATTCCGCGATAAAAATTAAAACCCATGAAATCCAATCGTATCAAATTCCACAGTTGAAGAAGTTGCGGCGAACATCTAGTTCTTTATAATTTTAATTTTTCTATCTTTGCTGATCGTAGCATGCAAAACATAAATATTATTTATCAAAATTCTTATTTTATCCATGTCGTTTGTAGAAGCAACAAATAAAGTCTCTTTCTTTCTTCTTACTTTCTATTCTTTAATTTTCCATCCAATACATCCTTTCAAAGATACAAGATAATATATCGATTTCCGTTAGGAAACTGTAAAATTTTGTTAGGCAAATGTCAATAAAAATAAATATAATAGTAAACAGCTTATCGTTTCAATGGATTTTACGATTCTTGCTAGCGTTCTACGCGTTAAATTTTGACGTATTCGATAATGTTTGAAATATAAACATATTTGATAGGCACCAATAAGCACTTATAACTGCTTTGCAAAGTGTATGCCTAGCGATATTTTCTAAATGTAGAGTATGTACAAGTGGTAAAATTAAAAATGTTGTACAACCGACTTCAATATTATTATTATGGGACCAAAAAAATAATAATATTGGGTAAGATTTCGAATTAAACTGTTTATTCCTATTATGTATTAACGTAAAGCACATAGAGTAGAGTAATAAAAACTATGACATGACAAAATTTTTCCGGGAGGCATAGATATAAAAAAAACACACCAAGCGACAAGGAGTAGAACAAGAATTGTTTTTTTATGGCAGACAAAGGTAACATGTCTTATGTTGTATACAGTATGCATTATAAAATTTATTACTTAACAAATATAAATGAAATGAGAACATTATCAATGTAGTCGAAGTCAATTAAATACGCATTATTAAGGATGACTGAAAAACTACTGGTCAGATCTTGATCAAATTTATATGGTACCACAAGAGAAGCACCAGATTTAAAATAAAAAAAGAATCATCAAAATCGGTTCACCTAGAAAAAAGTTCTGAGGTAACACACGTAAAAAATATAGTCAAATTGAGTACCTCCTCCTTTCTTGAAGTCGGTTGAAAATATAAAAAAATTTGAATTTACACACTATATTGAGGCAGTTTATGTTAATACTAGCTGTGCCCCGCGGTTCCACCCGAGTATATCACGCGTCTGCGCCTTGCGACATGCGAACTTCAAGAGAGACATCACGACGGACGGTTGCTGAATTAACAAAGATTTAAAAAGTGAAATATGTTACCAAAATTACATGGTTAACGTAATTGGTGGTTATGCATGATACAGGTACTGATACGAATAATGTGGCCTAGTTTGTATCGGCGTTACTATTTCATTCTAACATGAAAAAGTAATTATTGTGACATAACTGTAATAGTTAAACATATGGTAGGTATCGCAGACTTTTTTGTAGATATTGATATCCTCTATAAAACTGAAGTACATTACTTTGCTCTACTATCAATAGTTTCCGCAGCGTACGCGATATAAGGATTCTTTTTGGTATTTTTTTCATACCTTAGGTTACATTAACGAAGTTTTCATACGGATCCCTAACTTTTTGAAAATATTATATAGCCTATGTTCATCATGGATAAGTAGGATTCTAATGGTGAAAGAATTTTTCAAATCGGTCCAGTAGTTTCGGAGCCTATTCAATTCAAACAAACAAACAAACAAATATTTCCTCTTTATAATAGTAATAAAGTATAGTAGTGTAGATTACATAGTTCGCACACTACGGATCTGGAACAATTTTTGTATATTTGTTGCGAGATTCGTACCCGTGGTCCTTATCGCCAATACTCAATGCTAAGCCACTGCGCTATAGAGTTGTTCGTGTGTTTTTCATGATATTGTGTTTATAATATATATATATACATAAAATAGAAAAAATTGCTCACTTGTTGTACGCTGCAGTCCAATCCACAATTCACGTCGAAATGGCCATCTGTTGTTCGATTCTGAAAAATAAAGTAATCAATCTCAACACAGGGCACTTTTTTATGTTCCGAATAAGCGGCACAAGTATCAATGTACAACAGGAGAGGATATTATGGCATATTCAGTGGAGCACCGTCCCCATAGCTTCCGGCGTGACAGCGCAGCGCACTGGAGCGTGCCGTTGATGTGCCGCTTTAAGATTTACCTGACCAAAACCTATAATACATTTTAAGTGAAAAAACTGTTATTAGCTTTTTTTTACTCTCGAAACTTTAGACTGGTTACTGTGATTTAACCTTTATATTTGTCATGATAAGAAACTGCAGTGTGATTAACTTGAAAGGGTTTTTCTCAATTTTATTGTCATATTAAGTAAGATACGCACGTATATTACGCGCTATTATTTTTTTTTATTTAACAACGTAACCTCCACACTAGGATTTTCTCCTGTGTCGTGGAGGCAGTTTACAAACATAAATTGCACGAGGACAAACATCCAGACCCGCAACATTTATTTGTAGGCCATACAAATACTTGTTCCGTACGGGATTCGAACCCGCGGCCCCCATCATCATCATCATCATTACAGCCTTTCATAAGTCCACTGCTGAACATAGGTCTCCCCCAAAGAATGCCACATAGCACGGTCCTGAGCCACCTGCATCCATCGACTTCCTGCATGTCTTACCAGGTCGTCACTCCATCTCGTGGGGGGTCGCCCTACACTTCGCCTACCGGTACGAGGCTGCCACTCAAGAAACTTTCTTCCCCATCGGTTGTCGGTTCTTCGAGCTATATGGCCGGCCCACTGCCACTTCAGCTTACTAATCCGTTGGGCTATGTCGGTTACTCTGGTTCTACTGCGAATATCCTCATACCTAAGTTTATCACGCAGAGAAACTCCGAGCATAGCCCTCTCCATAGCTCGCTGAGCGACCTTGAGCTTCCTCATACGGCCGGCAGTGAAGGACCACGTTTCAGATCCGTAAGTCATCAGTGGCAACACACACTGGTTGTACAATTTCGTTTTAAGGTTTTGAGGTATGTCTGACGAGAAGATGTGTTGTAGCTTCGCGAACGCTGCCCAGCCGAGTTGAATCCGTCGATTGACCTCTCGGTCGAAGTTGGACTTACCTAGTCGGACTATTTGTCCCAGGTAAACATACTCGTCAACAACTTCGAGCTTAGTGCTCCCAACAACTACCGGCATAGATGTGACATGGACATTAAACATAATGCCCAATAGTTATATTGAAAATAGAACTATTTTCAATATAACTATTGGGCAAGATACATATGTTGTAAGAGTGTTATATATGTTATTAATCTAAGAGTGAAAATCAATAGTATTAACTCTATTGAGTTTCTCTCTTATAGTAAACTATGCATACTCGTTTTGTATGTAAAACCTGTAAATTTTATATTCATTTTAAAATTTTATGTTAAAACAGAACTAATTTGACCTCAATTGCTGGCTATTATATCTAAAAATATTATTAATTAAAATATTATATCTCATAAGTGAGTATCGTGAAGAATTATTTAAAATTCTAAAAACAGCACAAACTCTATCATTCACAAATCTATTTTAATTGACATGTATAATATTTAACATTATTCTCCATCGCACTCAAGAGCAATCCGCCAGACTGTGCTACTCTACGGATGAATTAAGGCATCACTATTATATGCAGACATGTTGTGTGATATTTAATAACATTATAAATGTATCTCGTTAGATTTTTTGCGAGCGTGTGACCGGAACCCTGTTACACCTGTACGGCTTCAGCATCGAAACGTGATACTTGTGGTCAGGTTTTGGGGATTTTTTTCACAGAAAAATAATATATTATTAAGCCTTTAAACTGTATTTTCCGATCACAAATCTATTAAAAATGAAGAGAGAAAGATCTTTGTTTCAATTTTAAACTAAACATGAATGGTTATGAGCTAAGGATAATTGTAAAGCCTCTCTCTGTTTGCAGAAAATGGTAGTTATAAAGTAGAGATGAACGATTATTATATTGAATTCTAAATTTCTACAGAAAATTGCCACTAAACTTTTTTTAATATATTCATTATAACCAAATATAATAATTTATCGTAAAATATTCATCGTAAATAAAATTAAATTTAAAAATTTAATTAAATTAAAGATATAAAAAATTGAGGTTAAAAAGAAGTTTTTCTTAGTTTCTGTTATTGTGATTTTCCCATTTCATTCACATTTTCCACTTAAGCTATATGAAGACAAGACTCAAGGACTGTTTAAGTGTCCAGTGGGGCGATGCAACTTATGTAGAAATATCACTCTATATTTAGCACAGTTGAGTTCATTACAGTGGGTTGCTAATTGCCAACAATTAGATGTGCGTTGAACCTTCGCTAGCAAACAAACTGACTGGAGATCATCGCAACGCGTTCTCGCCAAAGGCCAGTTAATCGCTCGCCTATCAATGGAACAATTTCTGAGTTACATTATCATGAATACGTACGCTGATTTATGATATTTGATGTTATGAGATATTAATTATATAAGAGTGTCAATTTGTTACAAAGTAAAAACTAAACTATTATTTACAGTGAACAGTGTGAATTATGATACGATTATGAAATTATTTTTAATATCATTAAATTCTATTGGTAGTATAAGCAATAATACACTATAATTTTCAATAATCATTATATATACATAAACAAATAAGTTTCTATATTATACAACATTTTTATATGGCAATTTGTGTATTACATTTATGTTGATCATCTCTATGACCTAATACTTCTTTATTGGTCTGAGTGACATAATTTTTACCTTGACTGGACATTGGGATTAACTTTACCAATTTTTCAACAACCTCAATATTAACAAGTTTTTTTTTATAGGATAAAAATGATGGTGGTTGATGGTAGGTGGTTGCTGCGGGCCATAGACATCTACATCTATCCTCTATTACAAATCAAAATGTAGATGCGTTGTCACCCGTGAGGACTAAGATGGAATGCCTCATTTCCAGTAAAAAATAAATAAATAAAATAAATAATTAAATTTACAGTTTTAATAGCCTCAAAAACAAGCTATTTTGCTGCAGCTTGTTTTGCTGAATATGTAGTACCTGTAATATGACGGACGTATATTACATAGAAATAGGGATGCCAACCAAATTCTTTTAAAAGTATTTTACGTTAGTCCTCTTATTTGTTCATTTTACTGGGGGAAAAAAATACGAGTAAACACTAAATTTATTTTTCATTATGCTACAAAGTAAAGATTCTTTATTTTAGCCTATATTTATTTTTACTGTTATGATTTTAGCCTATTTGGTTTACCCTGACCAAGATTATAAGATTTTCCACGTGGAAAGTCTTAAAATCTCTTTGTGTGAGGAGGCAAAGTCTCACTTTACCCGATATGTATCAGCGGTCGAAGTGTTAATAATATTATCATGTAACGGCGTTTAGCATTTCGCTGTTTCTTAACCATTTCAAGTTAGACCAGTTCTATTCTGTATGTATTCTTTTGTATTTCTGAAATGTCCGATCTTGCCTCAGCATTGCCACTCGTAAGCTCTTCATCAGTAGTCTCTAGGCGCTCTCTCCAAGTCGCAGGAGAACGCTTTAATCGATATCGAAATTTAGAAAAACATTGTTCAAAAACGAAATTTTGTCATGTATTCAAGAAACAGTCCCCCAAAGACGCTAGATTAATAAAGTGCAGCGTCCTTCCTGAGTTGGTCAATATTTAGGCTGGACAAATTGCGCAAATGCAATATAGAAGGAATATGTTTCGGAGGCTTAATTCTATAAGATGAATAAATTGGATCATGGTGTGAAAAACAAGGAGCTGCTGAAGGAGGAAAGCTGTCCGTGCTTACCTACACGGTCATGAGAAGATGCGACAATGTGATTAATCCATGAATCATCTGCGTCGATGTTATGACGAGTTGCCGCTAAAGGAAGAACGCTGAAACTGACCTTCTCCACAATTGATCGAAATTTATGAGCACGAGAATTATTTCTCAGTAAAATTGAAGTCCCCCATTATCATATAGTACAGACTAACTAGTAGATTGAAACCACACTAAATGACACACTTACGGATTGCAGTACAGTTCAGTTGAACATAGCGTATGTTCGGAATGTGCAGTCTAGTACGTAGTACATATGCCTAATAACTAATTTTAGTTCGATCCGAAATTCGATACCCGGGTACTTATTATCAGCAATCGCGTTTACGATCACAAGACCAACGCGGCTGTCAGACTCGTAGGTGTATGCAAACTTCATCCTGTATTCAAATACCTAATTAAGTAAATGACAAAATGGCATAGCAACCTACTTAATATCTTTCTTTTTTTTACCTTATTATGTTCTGCTTCAAGAGAGGCTCAAATCAAATAATAAGATGCTGAGATCAATAATAATTATTATAATTTAACTTTTGAATAACTTCGGAGTTATCAAGTGCTCAGGAGATATTGTCATAGTGCCACAAGTATACGCGTTTACGCAGAGGCACCTAACACTACCAGTGCCTAATGAAACCCAACCCTAATGAAAAATTGGATTTAGCGACAAAAGCTACAATCTAAAAGGCAGCAACAAAGTCACGGGATCACAACCCGACCTGAAGAGCAACAATTCGTTTTGCATAAATATGTTATATTCGGCTGGAATTCGACCCAAAGATTCGCTACGAAGTTGCCAGGTAAAATAGTTCATTACTCTTCCTCGGGTATCTTCCGTTGTTGGAAGGAATTGTCGTTTTGCGCCATTGCGACTGCTCCCCGTTATCGGTCTGCGTATTTTATATCTTGCATTAACGAGCCGATCACCATCAGTTTGTGACCATGATATATAAGAGATCTGACATACATTTATCTGGGACCGTGAGGGTCTGGCATTTCTTTGTGACCCGTACGGCTTCCATGGAACAAATGGGAAATGATCTCATATTAGGTACTCAAAAATAATTCAGAAATAAACAAAAATTCATCGCGTAAATTTACACGTTTTGTTTCGTATATATTTTTGTTTACACTATAATTAAAACATCATGAAATCACAAAAACGAAGTTTTATAACATCGGATGCGTAGATATGTGACACTCTTGAGCTATAGCTTTTATTCTCAATATAAAATTAAAGTAGTTGTCTTGTTTCTACCAGATGTATGATGAATTAATCATCTAAGTATAACCTCTAATACAATTGCGATTGGATTAATTTCCTATTGAAATGGAAGTCAACATAAAAAATTGGATTTTGTTTGGTAGAAAAATATTAATTAAATTTTACACAGCAAACTTTAACAGCCTTGTTTGATTTTAGCCAAAAATACCCATTGCGTGCTTTTATTTCGAAAAATACAGTAATCTTAAGATACACTAGACTCAGCTATTTAACTTAAAATGTATTTGTAATATAAATAGTAAACATCCTTAAAAGCACTTCTGTGTCTGCTCCTCGAAGTATCTGTGGGCCTTTGCTCTAGCTGCTTGTGCTCACTTCCTACTTAAAGCAGTAAATTAACGCTAATTCATCCGTTTTGTTGGTTTATCGCTACTCAAACTAACATTCCTAATCCGAACCTTGGTTAGATAAACGTTGTGAGAATTTATAAAAAAATATTTTTTGCTTTCTATGTATTTACTTTTTTCTTTAGGGTACACCCACCGCAGCTATATTATCATTTTAGCACGAATAGATCAGCTCGACAGGAAAAGGATGACGCTCTCCAGAACTACTGGCAAAAAAGCATTATTTAACTGCTGTGCTTGTATGGCTGTTACGAGAACGGAAGACCGATTTTACTGGTAACGAATTATTCATCGTAGATTAAGATCTGAGCAGCAACGCATCTGCATTTTAAATCTTAGTTGATGGTTGAAGTCTATAGGCTACAGAATTCAATCAACATCAGGTGGACAGTGCTCATTTGTAACCAACCTACCTCATTCGACTACCTGCTATAATAATCACCTTAATTTTAACGGAGTAATATTTTAACATATTTAAATAAAAGACAGGCTCTACAGGGTAAAGGCCTGTATATATATATACAGGCCTATATATAATTTCAAAACACTACCCCCACACTAAGATTTTTATGTCTATTACATTGTTTCGTGCTGGACTTAAACATGCGGCCCTGAGCATCTCAACTCTATGTTAAGCCGTCAAATTATTCTGTTTCTATATCAGATTTACACTTGTTTATCCCATGAACAATTATTTTGTACTTGTTTATCCCATGTAGGAATTACACGCAAGGCTCAGCCAACGCTTATTTACTGAGCAATTGTCTTTGAAGCACATCTATAATTCCTAGCCATTTTATAAAAACCTAGTGAATTTTTATTTTATCGAACGATGACGAGATAAATTAACTGTTAGCGTATCCTTTACAATATTGAATACAAAACACGAACCTGGAATGGGCATTTTTCATTGCATCGAGCAACAGCTTCCGCTCCAAATTTCTCGGTGATGGAACTATAATCGCAGCCAATTGGCCAAGCGGACAAAGCCAATCCGAGCAGCGACAACACTAGCCATTTGTGCCAATTCAGCGGCGGTATCATTGTGCCCACCGGCCTTTGCCGTCGAGCCCACTCTTGCGCACCGTCACGATAACACGGCCATTGTTATATAAAACACACAATAAATATAGCAATTGTAGTATAACTGCCACTGATTCTTTCTAACAGTTTACAAAAACACAGTTTATTAAATTATTTACTAACGCCAAAAAATAATACGTAAGTAATGCGCGCGCAAATCAACATAACATTCGCAGTAACATATGGAATGTTCGCTTAGGTGCGCGGACGCATCGAAAGCTGGCCGCGGACTGAGCGTGAGCGATGGCTCCGCCCGCCGTCGCGTCTACGGCGCCGCTACGGTTGGGCGCTACGCTTATTGTGCTCTACCTGCTTAGTGTTGCAGCGTGTTGTAATTAGCGGTAATCACTTCAAATCATTGATCACAATTTGTTTATGACAATGTGAGTAAAAACATGACATTGCAATGGAAAATATTTTTTTTCGGATTTTTTTTACGTTATGATGTGTAATTTAGATTGATTAATAAAATAATATAAATAGCTTGTAAAGTAAAAATTTTACTTTCTTAGGATCTCCTTTTTATAATTTTCACATGTGTGAAAATTCAACTAGATCAGTTCTTTGAAGAGAAATCTTACATTTTCTATGATAGAAAAATGAATGTACTCGTATGAAGATAACTTTTATTGTAGGTTTTATTGAATCTTTATTGTGTACACCAAAACAATACATCATGATGATGTCGCACTGGGCGGTCTTATAGCTAAAAGCGATTTCTTCCAGACAACCTTTGGAGAGAATCTCAAAAAGCAGAAAATTATGGTTTGGTGATGCAAAAACAGAATATTTATAAATAGGCACGTCTCGCTGACAGAGGTAGTGCATTTCATAGACGTAGTGCTTGAATAGTAAACGATCTGTCCAAAAATATGGCATTATGGCCAGACATTTAGTTGTTTTTTATAGAATAGGGTGACAAACGATCACACAGTCCACCTGATGGTAAGTGGTTGCTGTGATCCATAGACATCTACATTTATCCTCAATAAAGAACCAAAATGCAGATGCGTCGTTACCCGTGAGGACTAAGATGGAATACCTCTTTTCCAGTAAAATGGGTCTCCGGTTCTCTACACTCACCATACGAAACACAGCAATGTTAAGCTGCTATTTTACGCTGGTATTCTGTGAGAGCGTGGTCCTTCCCTGGTCGAGCCGACCCATTCGTGCTACAACTATACTACTAATATAGCTGTAGCATGGCTCTACTACGTATTATTTAGTTATTTAATATAAAATTTTCTAATGACTGATGGGTATGCAGATATTGATGAGATGGAGAAAGATCATCGAACACCACTATTGTACAGATTATGTTTAGGAAATAAACCATTTCTACAATTTTTATTTTTTTATTTTTTTTTTATTAAAAAAAAAACGTTACCCCCACACTAGTATTTTCTCCTGTGTCGTGGAGGCAGTTTACAAACATGAATTGCACAAGGACAAACATCCAGACCCGGAACAATTATTTGTAGGCCATACATATACTTGTTCCGTGCGGGAACCCGCGGCCCCCTGCGCATCAACTCATTGCTAAGCCACTGCGCCACGGAGCCGTATTACAATTTAGTTGCAAAAGTAGGATGAAATATTTGGAAATATCACCCATCATTTAATTTGCATTATATTAAATGTCGAATGAAACTAGGAAAAGTGATTAATAATAAAGATGTATTATGATAATCAATTATACCAAAATATTATTATTTAATGAATAAGTTTAAATTATTTTCATATTATCAAAACTTCAATTGATTTTTGTCTACCATTTAACCTTGTTGATCCTGATTTTAGCTTTTATTGTGCCGTATATCATAAGAAGCAACAAGGCCGCGGGACGACGGCAACGTATCAAGTAAGTAACACTGAGAGTTTAATTAATTTAACTATCTACACAGTTAATCTTCCCACGCTGTTACTGCATACCAGACTCTAGGCGGTTACATTTAAACACTGATTCATTTTTTTCAAGTATTATTGCTTTAGTTTTTATTGATTAATAATTGAAAATCATTAAATTTGGAAAAAGCTTGTGACAGATTTATTCAACTTGCCCAACTAACTCCACTTCTATACTTGTTTTTATTTATTATATATATTATATTTATTCCTTATTGCATTCCTTAAAATAAAATAATCAAAAGGCGGACTTAATGCCTTGAGGCATTCTCTACAAGTCAACCCATGGAGTGGTGAGAATTTGACGTATAGGTGTAGCAATATAGATTAAAAAACAATATAAAATGTTAATGAACTACATAATATACACATTTAACTAATAGATAAACTATACAATTATAAAATATACGTACATATATACAAATATATACATACATATACAAACATATATACACATATACGTATATAAATATGTATATACATATTTATATACATATATAATTTATACTTACGAATAACTATAAATAAATACGTACGTTTAGAAATACATATGACATGGATGATGATTCACGTAAGTAGTGTTGTCTTTAGTAAATGATTACGTACCAACTTTTTAAAGGCATACTTATTTTACATACCGTTTTACTTTCGTCTTTTAGAAAAACCATCACTTACGTCTTACTTGCGTTCGCTTTCAGTCCCCTTATTTTAATGATACTTTCATTAATTGCAACTTGCCCACCAACAGCGTAAATATGACTGGTCATCGACGTACGAGGAGCAATTGACGGCTAACTCACCCATTCTTAATCCACATTCTGTGACTTTTAAAGTTTCCAAAATACTGTCGTTAACAGGTTGAACAGCCACGAAGAAGCTATAACAACCCTGTCTGACACCTTTATGGATGACAAACCAATGTGTAAACAAGCACTGGAGTCCTTATAAAGAGATATTAACGTCTGTATCAGGCCAGCCACTGATCAACCCAAACGTGACCAGCGTTTGCCATAAAACATCTCTCACTGAAAGGGAAGGGTCATTCACGCAGGGGGGTGCTAAGAATCTCCGGTGGAGGTTCGGTTGCCACCTTAGACGACTCAAACTGGCAACGTACAACGCATGCACCCTGAGGACTGACGAGAAGATCGTGGAGCTGGAAGAAGAGATAGACAAGTTACGCTGACATATTATACGATTATCTGAAGTCCGAAGATAGGGGGAGGACACGGTAATCCTCGAATCCGGCAACTTGCTCTATCACCGGGAGGGCGACCATCTGTCCCAAGGAGGTGTCGGATCTATCGTCCACAGGTCTCTCGTTAACAACGTTGTAAAGATCGGGAGTGTGTCGACGAGGGTTGCGTACCTTATACTCAGAATCACCAAACGGTATTCGCTGAAGGTCATACAGGTTTACGCACCAACCTCGGCACACCCCGATGAGGAGGTGGAAGAAATGTATGAGGATATCTCTAGAGCCATGCATTCCTCCAAAACCCAATATAAGGTGTTAATGGGAGACCTCAATGCAAAACTAGGCACAAGAGTGAACGGTGAGCTGAAAGTAGGGAAATTTGGAATAGGGCAACGGAACCCAAGGGTCCAGCAGCTGACCGACTTCAAGAGGGACTCTTTATGATGAACTCTTTCTTCCAGAAGCGGCCCCACAGGAAGTGAACCTGGTCGAGCCCCGACGGTTCGACAAAAAATGAGATTGACTTCATTATGACGACCAGACGACAACTGTTCAGTGACGTCTCCGTGATCGCGATGGTGAAAACTGATAGCGATCACCGAATGGTTAGAGGCACACTGAACCTAAACGTTAAGTTGGAGAGGTCTCGTCTAATGAAGTCAACGTTCCGTCCCCCTCGTGTTCTAATCCAAAGTCCCGAAACCTTTCAGCTCGAGTTACAAAACAGTTTTCAGTGCCTAGAAGACTGCAATGAAGTGGACGATATGAATAACAAGCTCGTGGAAACTGTCCATGCGGTCGGAGTTAAGTTCTGCAAGACCCGCCGCAGAAGAACACAAAAACTCTCCGATCACACTCTTAATCTCATGGCTGTTAGACGGGAGATGAAACTACATTCTTCAATAGATTTGACAGCATACAGGCAACTGAACAGACAGATCTCCAAATGCATGCGGCGGGACTTACGCAACTTCAATACAGCTTATATAGAAGAAGCGATCGAGCGGAACCAAGGCTCTAAAGTCTTTGCCAGAGATCTGTCTGCCAGAAAGAGCCAACTGTCAAAGCTGAAGACCGAGTGTGGTAGCATCGTTTCCGGGGCACCTGAGATTTTGAGTGAGATTGAGAGGTTCTATGGGCAGCTGTACACGTCATCGTTGGAGCCGCACGCAAGTGTGAGTAACGATCCAAGAGCGAGTCTTATCCGACATTATTCCGATGATATCCCGGACGTCAGTCTGAGCGAGATTAGAATGGCTCTCCAGCACCTTAAAAACGGCAAGGCCCCAGGTGAGGATGGAATTACAGCGGAGCTTCTGAAAGCGGGTGGAAAACCGGTACTTGAAGTCCTTCAGAAGCTCTTTCCGTCCTCCATGGTGGCATTACACCGGAGGCGTGAAGCAGAAGTGCGGTGGTCTTGTTCTTCAAGAAAGGCGATAACGCTCTCTTGAAGAACTACAGACCGATTTCCGTTCTGAGCCGCGTCTACGTGCTGTTTTCGAGAGTCATTACAAATCGTCTCGCGCGCAGACTTGACGACTTCCAGCCTCGCGAACAAGCCGGTTTCCGAAAAGGCTTTAGCAACATAGACCACATACATACCCTTCAGCAAATTGTACAGAAGTCCAAGGAGTACAATTTGCCACTATGCCTTAGATTCCGTCGAAATTTGGGCGGTGCTGCAGTCCCTTCAGCGATGCCAAGTTGACTGTCGGTATATCGAAATGCTGAAGTGTTTGTACAGTAGAGCTACGATGGCTATCCGAGTACAGAACCAGAGTACGAAACCTATCCAATTGCAGAGAGGTGTAAGACAGGGTGACGTCATATCCCCGAAACTCTTCACCGCTGCATTGGA